TTGATAAATAGTGATGATAATAATGATGATGATGATGATGATGATAATAATAATAATAATAATAATAATAATAATAAAATTTGGGGGGGGGATAAAAATATGGGTGGAACTATTTCTTTAGAAATCAAATCTTGAAATTTTATTTTTAATCTTTACGTTTTATTTTATTTTATTTTAAATGTATCTATTCAATTTTTTTTCAAATACAGTCATTGGAAACCTCCCAAACAACAATTATACAAACGGTAATATTCATCATTATCATTATCATTATAATCATCATCATAATCAACAATATAATCATAAATATAATCATAAATCAACAACGTCAACTTCATCAAACAATAGAAATTTTGATAATAAAAATTATAAAGAATATCATTTCAGACAAAAATCATCGGCAAATTTATTAAATTCAGAAAATCAGAATAAAAAAAATAATATTATTAATAACAAATCACGTTACAACAATCATCGTAATAATAATCAAAGATTAAATAACAACAATAACAAAATGGCATCAACAACATTTTCTAATAATAATAACAGCAATAATTGCTTACATCCAACGATGCGCAATAACAATAACATTACTAATAAAAAAGTTGCTGCTGAGCATAAATATAAAACTGTTGATGAAATTTGTTCAGAAACAAATTTATATCTAATTCTTGGTGTTGAAAGATCATGTTCATCAGAAGAATTAAGAAGGGCTTACATTAATGTAATTATATTGTCGTTGTAATCAATTAATTATTGATCTGTATAATTAACCAATGTTGGTTTCTTTTTTTTCACTCGCATGCAGAGATCAAGAATTTGTCATCCTGATAAATTTCCAGAATATCCAAAAGCAACAGAAGCATTTCAAAGTAAGTTTTTTATAAATTTAATTAATAAATATTAAAATGAATGAAAGAAATATTTATAAATTTTTACGTTATATATTTTAGAACTTTCATATGCCTATGAAACATTGAATAAATCATCCTCAAGACGTGCTTATGATATATCAGGCACAAGTGATTTAGGTAGTGTAAGCGGGACGGGTGATGATACATTACATGGAGTATTATATCAAGTAAGTAATATATAACGCTATTTTATTTTGTGAATTAATAAAAGTGTATAAAATATTAATATTTTATCTTTTTTATAGTTATTCTTAGAATTCATGGACGGCGATTTTGAAATGATTCGTTCTTTAGTTAGTAAGTATTGCCATTAGTTGAATATTTGGTTGATTTGTTGAAAATATAGCAAATCGACTTATCATATTTATTACGTGATATAGATGCATTAAATGAAGGTAACCCTGGATTAAATCTGGGTGAAGATGCAATTGAAACACTAGAAACAGCATTCGGAAGAATGAGAGAAATACTTTTAGGTAAAAATATTTTTTTTATAAGGAAAAGTAATTCCTCATATCATATATATTATTAATATTTTTTTCATTCACTCATTCTCAACTTAGCCGGTAAAAAATATGTCAAAATTGTACAATTCGAGTTGATCAGATTATATGAACTCCAACAACAACTTCGATCATTATCATATTTTGATATTTTTGGTCGTATAAGATTAACGATGCAATTGGCTCGTATAACACTTTCCATACCAATGCTGATTGATTCGGCGATGAAATCCGAATTTAAGCAATTGGGTAGCAAAGGTATCAATAAAGGACTTCTAGGAGACGGTTTGGCTAAAGTAATTTCTGGTTTAGTCAATGTTCTAGAAAAAGGAGAACAATACTTATGATCATTATATTTTTTAAGGGCCGGATTTTTTAAATCTTATTTAATTATTAATTAATATAATATATCAACTTTTATAAAAGTAATCCCTCTATAAATATAATATATATAGTATGATAATTTTTAAACAATTTCCTAATTAGAGATTGGTACTGTTTAAAAATTCTTTAACTGGTTAAACTATACATGCAGCCCAAATTGGTTTGGTGATTTCAATGGTCAAAATTATTCCAATTTTGATGGTAGAAAGTATATAGAAATTAATCACGTCACTCACTAAAAACATAAGTGTAACACCCCTTTACTACATGTGTAACCCCCTTTATGACAGTGTTAAAATACTTTGGGCTGCATGTATAGGTTAAACATTAATTTTAACCAGTTAAGGATAAGGAGAATCACATGGCAATTGCATTATGCAGGTCATGTGAAAAATTCAGATCAGCCAACAGGAAGATCTGCACACCTAATGCAGACATTTTCCGGAAGGCTTATTCTATCTTACCTGGACTGTGGTGGAATAGGTTAACCAACAGGAGAGAACGTACTGGGAACACAAAAATTAACAGGAGGGAATACAAAATTTTAACCCATGCAATTTTGTTGATTGACCAATTAAAATCGCGAATTTGATAACGTAGAAATAAATATGGGTTTGATTCATTTTGTCAACAAT